ATCTAATTTTGTAATTAAATTAAAGACATTAGTTCTATTTTATCCTCAAGCGAACTTTTAAAATTACTGGGTTTTAAAGACACAGCTAAAATCATAATTCATGTTGCCAAGGTTACATATAAAACCACTTTCACTAGGAATTACTTAAATATATATATATATATATATATATATTTAATTCATCGAGTCTGAAAAAACCTCAACAGATGCAGAAAGCACTGGACGGCCGTTTCGTCCTATATTTAGGACTCATCAGCAGTGCGCATCCACTACCGAGAATTGAAACCCTAATAGTTAGGTTGTCAAGCAAACATCATACCAACTGTTCCACTCGGTGACGAAGAGATTGCAAAATAGACTCAACAAAGCGCCGCTTGCTCATATATTCCGTGGTGGAACTCAACTGAGTTCTTTGTAACCATAGGACTGTGCCCCCTGGAGCCACGACTACTGTCACCAAGCCGCTCACTCTAGAGTATTAGAAGCCGGATCAAGCAATGATGTACATGATAGAAATTATTAGGAGGATTTGATAATGATATTTAAGTAATTCATCGAGTCTGAAAGAAACCTTTAATATATATATATATATATATATATATATATATATATATATATATATATATATATATATATATATATATATATATATATAATTGGTATGACGCTTCCGTAGTATCTTAACGGTCCGTGTTCGATTCTCGGTAGAGGATGCGCACTGTTGACGAGTACCAAATATAGGACGAAAGGGCCGTCGAGGTTTCTTACAGACTCGATGAATTACTTAATTATGATTATTTGAAATCCTCAATAAATAATAATAAGTAATTTTTATTACTTGTTTATCCATGTTTGACCCGACTTCTAATTGTCTGGATCGAATGGCTTCGGGATAGTAGTTGTGGCCTGTGGGGGCACAGTCCTATGGATAAGCGAAACTCGGATGAGTTACACCACGGAATTTGTGAAGAGCGGCGCTATAGCGAATCTAATTCGTTACCTCTTCGTCGTTGGTACGGTCGGTATGCCGCTTGTGTTGTATCGTAACGGCCCGGGTTCGATTCCCGGTTGTGAATGCTCACTGCTGTCGAGTCCAAATATATAGAACGAAACGGACGACCAGTGCTTTCTGTTGAAGATACTTGCAGATTCGATAATTTAATTCAAGAGTTTTATTTAATCTTCGCTTATCGCTTTCCCTAAAGCGATGACGCCGATGACTAATTAGACCAATTCTTGCATGGAAGCGAGGATGGCAATGACAGCATATTAATGGTGGTCGAGGACGTGGTCGATTTAGTGGCACCTTTCTTTCTTGTCGTTTGGATTCTTCCTTTCTTCTTCCGGCGGCTGGGAAGATTTTGGTTGCGATGGTGATGGAACACCGGCAATTAGTCCATTTTCGTGCCTGTGTTTCAAACGATTTAGGCTCAAATCCAGTGGCTTTCAGAGATGTTCTGAGATGGACCTTGTAACTTCGAAAAGGCAACCCCGTCTTCTTTTCCCTCGATTTCACCGCAATATAGAGTCTCGGTATCGCAGCAATAAGTTTGAAATGCCAACAGCATTATATCTATCTATAAAAGGTAGGATGTGTGTGTGTGTGTGTGTAACGAATGCACGGCCGCAATTTTGGACGGATTTGCACCAAAATTTACATGCACATGCTCCAAGTTAGCGAAAAGGCCAAGACCAAATTTGCATTTCCAAACTCCCATCGATAGTGGAAATAATCGATTTTTTCATGCTTCTACGGCAGTTTTCATGTAATTTGCGGCCATTTTGTACTGGCCAGAGTGAGAGCCTATAGCTGGCTGTCACGAATAGGCAGGCAGATTCTATTGGCCAGCGTGAGAGCCAACAGCTGACTGACATGAATGTTAACTAGCATGTTAGTATGCAAAAAAAAATAAAATCGATAGCTGCATTCGTCACAAGTGGGAAAAATTTAAATCTGCATGGCACTTTACTCCAATTGGCTCATTCGCTTGCTTAAACTCAACGTTGATTCTGATTCCGCAGAATTGGGTTGGGTGAAAAAAATTTGTTGTTAACATTCTTTTTTCATTCGGTTTTTCCAGTTACGAGTCCTTTTTTAAAGCTGATCATTTTGTGTTCATTTTGTTTAGTTCTTTTTTCGTAAGAGATTTAATGTTTAGTATAGAGCTTAGAAAAAATTCGCAGTGTGAGATAGGCAAGAAATAAGGCATGTAGCAACATCAGCACGGCAAAGAGCACTCCTTTAAAGGCAAGGAAGGGCAAAAATATTTTAAGACAAGTGATAGCGATTGCTGTATGAGTCGTACGATTTTTGAATCAAGCACGCCAACGCCGGGCCATGCTGCTAGTAGATTATAATTAATTTCAGCTCTTTGATTCGCTTTCCAAATGCCACGTATACACCTTCAATTCTGTGTTCCACATCGTTTTCTGAAGTGCCCTTGTTTGATAAGTCTACCTAAGTATAGAAAATGCTCTCCTTCTACAAGTGTATCACAAAAGGTAATATCAAAATCGTGTAATAATGTAAATATCTGGTAATATCATCATCATCATCATCCCCGTGACTTTTGTAATCGTAGGCGGGATCCGAATGCAGAAGCCACACTTAATCTTCTCCTCAACGGTCTATTAACGGCACCCATCAGTAATTCTGGTATAGTCATACTTGTCCATATATATATATATATATATATATATATATATATATATATATATATAAGAGATTATAATAAAAACATTTTGAAATCGGTACACAAAAGCTTTCATGTTTCAATACCATAATTGTAGTTCTTCAGGCGATGGTAAGTGACATTTAATCAGCAATTACTTACCATCACCTGAAGAAGTACAAACATAATATTGAAACATGAAATCTTTGTGTATCGATTTGAAAATGTTTTTTATTGCTGAATATGTAATATATTGCTTTACTGAGTACTTTATATTTAGTACTTTTTAAAAAGTAAATTCTATAAACAGAGGAATTTTATTCCATCTGATCTTTCTCTCGTTTGGATATATATATATATATATATACGGTGTTCCAAAAATCTATATTGGCTCTTTCAATGCCAAAAAATGTAGTGTTTATTGATTTTCAAATAACATTAATTGCTCAAAAAATATTACTAATATTTATTGAATTAAAAGAGGATATGCAGTTTAGATAAAATATGTACTGGCCAGGCTCGACATTGCTTAACCTAAGTAATAGTAAAGGAACCGATGTTTTAAGGTGATATGGCCATAAGCCTTTTGGGGTCTAAGCGGAAAACTAAGAACTTTAGAAAGAAAGATTAAAATTAAAACCTATGATATTTCCATGTCTGTCACGTTTAATGAAACATGTATAAAAGAACGTTTGCTGTCGAAATATACAGTTGTGTGTAGCGTGTGTGCAAGGTTATAATCATCTGCGAATATTCGACTATGGATTCATATTTGCTTTTGGTTGTAAGGTAAATACTGCAGCGATTGAGGCAAACAAAGTAAAAATGAGTGTTGTCTGTATCTGACAACTATCGCGTGTATGCTCGTATAAATTGACAGCAACCAAATGCCTGCCCAAGCGTTATGTGTTAGTTTTCCTTCAGACAATGCATCAATATGATTAAAGGAGCAGCATGGAAAAGGAGAAAGCGTGCGAAAGAGGAAGTCGGTAATTTAGAATTCACAATTTCTGGCTTAACACGTCATAAGTATCGGTTCCTGTTCAAAACTAATGACGTCTCCCGAATCTTCCCTTCTTTCTTGAACCGGCATTCAGTCCGGTGTCTACTTCTATTCCATGCGCAGGCTACAAATGTTTTTAAAAGCTCGATCGGAGTTGTAAAAAAAATTTAATAAAAAATTAATTCACCACAAGTAAGACAATAAAGCCACTCTGACGCAAGGGTCTACTGAATATGAAATAACTCGAAAGAAATTAAAAAAAAACTGAGGAGAGTGGACAATAAAAGAACAAGAATTATAACGATTGACATTGCACTTAATGATTTCAAAATTAAGATCTAACGAAAGTTTCACAAGGAGACCTAACCGACAATCAAGTATCTGCTTGAATTCGTAAAGATTAATATATGTGGACAGATAAATGATTAAGAGAGACAGGTATTAGATAGGAATGGATCGACAAAATATATTAGCGAGAGGGAGAGAGAGAGAGAGAGTGAGAGAGATTAGGCATGCATATATATATATATATATATATATATATATATATTACGCCCCTTTTCTTTAAACAATTGCTCTAGCCGTTACCATAGTAATTTTAATTTCAATAATGAATATGCTTATAAAACGCAAAAATTTCAGGAATTAGTTATTCCAAAATAAATGTCGCTTGAACATGGAACAGAGCTTAGTACTTTAATTCAATTTAATTCAAATAATTTTATTGAAGTTTTCGGCTCTTGTTTTGAAACATGAGATCTCTTATGTAGCGATGGAATCATATTTTTAAATAAACAATTATATTTATGCTCAACATTTGTATCGAGCACTATTTTTAAAAAATAATAACAAAAATACTAAAGAACTTTGGATTATTTACCTAACGAGTTCTTTCCTATTTTCTATATATGTTTATACACACACACACACACACACACACACACACACACACACACACACACATATATATATATATATATATGAATATAAAAGTGAACATAGAAGTCAACACTTAGAGGCGACAGTTGGTTTCATGATATATGCAATCGTCAGGCCACCTGGCCTGACGATTGCATATAGCATGAAACAGACTGTCGCCTCTAAGTGTTGACTTCAATGTTCCCTTTTTTCAATGTTCCCTTTATATTTACACACGCTCTATCTCTGATATTGAACACTTTATCTCATAAATATAGCACACCTTAAGACTATCGTTCTTTATATATATATATATATATATATATATATATATATATATATATATATATATATATTATGAAATGAAAAAAGTCCGACAATTATTTTAAAGACATTGTTATGTTATACATTCTTTCTATAGATACAAATATTTAAGTAAAAGCACTGTTTAAAATAAACAGTATTAAACAACATTTACCGGCCTGAATGTGAAAATTTCTCGGACATTCAGGCCGGTAAATGTTGTTTAATACTGTTTATTATAAACAGAGTATTTACTTAAATATTTGTATCCATAAAAAGAATGTTAAACATAAAAATGTCTTTATATATATATATGTGTCAATATTTCTGAGATGAGTTATTATGTATACTATTTACATTGTTCGGACTATTTTCCTCATCTTTTTTGCCATATTTATCACAACGTTTCGGCCGTTGTACAATCCGGCTTTCTTCAGGTGGTCCGAATATAAACGGCAACTGTCGAAAGAATAGATGAAAAAGAGAAGAAAGAGCTATTATAGGTTATGACATTCGAACATGCATATTACTGCTACAAAAATGCGCAACATCACATCTCATCATATGATGGTTTTAATAAATTTTAGTCACTGCTTATACAACAGCTCATCTTTTTATAAAAAAAAAAAAACGACATAAAAAATAATTTTCACAAAAGGAAAAGAAAGAAATACTCAAGTAATATTAAAAGAAAAGAAAAGACGGAGAAAAATATGGTGAATAAAAATTTAAAAGAAAGAAGAAAGAGAAAAAATAAGAGGTGGAAGAGAAAAAAGATATTCTTCTTCCGGAAAAAAAAAGAAAAAAAGAACCTATCAAAAAGAAAAAAAAAGAAGAGAAACAAGATTATATGTTATAAAGTTTAGCCAATGAAAACTGTCTACGTTAAGAAAGATATTAGAGAAAAAGGATTCAAATTTATCCGAAATAATGCCAAAGAGATAGAAAAGTTTTTGATACAATCTAACCGTACGTGGGCAGTTAACGTTTTGAAGATGATGGAACATATATTATCAAAATTATACATATTAAGTAAATAAAAAGACACGTTAAAATGTAAAAGTAAGAAAAACCCGATATACATACATATATATATATATATATATATATATATATATATATATATATATATATATATATATGTGTGTGTGTGTGTGTGTGTGTGTGTGTGTATAAAGTTAAAGCAAGAAAAGGAACGAGATAAATGTTAACATTAAAGATTAGAGAAAATGAACATTCATCACACACACATTCTCAGCGGAATATATATATATATGTGTGTGTGTGTGTGTGCCTGTGTATATATATATATATATATATATATATATATATATATATATATATATATATAATATAATCAAATCTATAAATATGGGTAAATGCTTATAACGTATGGTAATATATATAATATATATATATATATATATATATATATATATAATACCATATGTTATAGGCATTTACCTGTATTATCCATTTGATTATACTCACACATATATATATATATACCCCCCACACACACACATATATATATATATATATATGAATATAATCAAATGTATAAATATAGGTAAATGTCTATAACATATGGTATTATATATATATATATATATATATATATATATATATATATATATATATATATATATATATATATATATATATATATATATTGAATATAATATAAATGGATATATATATATATATATATATATATATATATATATATATATATATATATATATATATATATAATATAAATAAAAAAAAAAATTGTGTGTGGCAAACTCCAAAACATAGCTATTATATCCAGCTATATAATTTTTCTTCGGAAATGATATTGTCAGACTGTACAACATGTCTCCATCCACATCCGATCCTATCTGACGTCTGTTGATGTCACTGATTTCCAATCTACGGCTGATGACACATTTATGGAAAATAATCTCTTCATTTTTACCTCTTTTCTTATTTGAAATTTAACGCAGGTCTTATTTGATTGGTTGATCTGAGTAAAGCCCACACACCTTATAACAAAACCTCCTCTTTTCATTTTGCAAAAGATTGCATTTTGCTTTTAAATCTGATTAAATCTTTCACTCGCCAGTAATTTACAATCGCCTGATGAGCTGCTTTGTATGCGTCCCGAAACAGAAGTTAGCGATTGTGTTGCGATTGTGACCTGTTTTCTGTGAAAAGTCTTAAAATAACGAATATTGCTCTACTTTGTACAGAGCACTCTTTTTAAATTAAATATTAGGAATGTTGGAATTGTGTTCTATTCGTTTCTCATCTTACCTGGATATATGCATATATATATATATATATATATATATATATATATATATATATATATATATATATTTATACACGTTTAATTAAATAATATAGACAAGTGTTGTCTGTTAATTTTATGTAAATTTTTTTCGTAACATCTGATAAGTTTAATAACATTATCGTTAAACGAAGAAAGAAATTCACAATATTGATCCATATTTCTTTTAATATAATCTAAGCTTTCGGCTTACTTAAGCCATTATCAAAGATGTAAATTACAAACATATTAAACAATATACGTACACGACAGTGATGATAGTCTGTCAT